CTCCCTCGTGTGTCCCGTAGAGGCGCCTGGACCGGAGTGACGTCACATTCTGGCCCCCGGCACCTCTACAGGGCACACAAGGGAGCTGTACAAGCAATGCGCGTATGGATGGAGCTCCGTCACAGCAGCCCACACTAGACCCCAGGCTGAGGATCCACTCCAGTTCTTGTAAGGTAGGGAGACTGGGTGAACTTTAAAATAAAAATAGGGCCCATTGACACTAGTACTGTGCGATTACCGCACTGCACCACCCAGTTGCACCCACCGTGCATTCCGGTGTGGGAGGTGTGTTGCCATTCATTTGAATGGTACCCCAAACGCACCTCCCGCCCCCACAGTTCGTACGCCCGCCCTAATGCGGTGCATTCCATTGCAGTGCAGACGTTGCAGACTCGGGCGGCGACTTAAGGACCGAGGACAGATGTGGGTCCTGAGGTAACGCAGCTTGAGAACCACGGCTCTAATGTATATAGTGACGTAGGGAATACAGCTCCCATGCAATGATGGCCAGCAAGAGCTAAAATAGCCCCGTAGTTGGTGTCAACGAGGGAAATATTGAAGCTCAGCATTGGTGTTCAGTGGTTACTTACCACACATGCCTACGATGCTGCTTCTTCTCTTATATGACTGGATCCATGTTGTCACTGTTGGGCTGGAGATCCCTCCCCTCCCCCCCCCGACAGCGCCCACATAGGAGCACAATGCAGAGAGTGCTCCTGCACCCACTTCCACTCTGCACAGTGTCCTGGATCCTTGCGGGGCACGGGTACTGCGAGACCAAATGGCAGAACTGTCCTACAAGATCGGGGACGCTGAGCAACTATGCATTTGTCTACAGAGAGTCTTGTTTAGATCACATGACCCTTTTAATAATGAATTATCAAGCAAGATTCTGGGAAGTCCGCAGTGATAATTGTTATCTTCTTCCTCTAAACAGGATTACAGAGTAGTGACCAATATATATCTTACACTCATCAGAGGTCACCCATCACAGAGCCTCCACCTCACCGCCTGACAACAGAGGAGAACACTGTTAAAAATATTCTAGAAGTCACCAAGAAGATCATTGATCTGCTGACGGGAGAGGTGAGCGGTGCCGGGAATTCTGGGACATGATCCAGGAACAGACAAGGGGCGTGTCTGGGTGGTGACTGTATCATTGTGTGTGTCAGGTTCCTATAAGGTGTCAGGATGTCTCTGTCTATTTCTCCATGGAGGAGTGGGAGTATCTAGAAGGACACCGGGATCTCTACAAGGACGTGGTGATGGAGAATGCCCCGCCCCTCACATCACCGGGTAAGAGGAGAGAGCAGTACGGAGGCTCCGCCTACATCCCCCATCATCTGATACACACATAGAAACAATGTATTCAGTCAGTGTGTGTGTTTCCTACAGATGGATCCAGTAAGAGGAACCCACCAGAGAGATGTCCCCGTCCTCTGTATTCCCGGGATCCCACCCAGGAGGACCACACCATGCCACACCATGAGAGATGTCCCCGTCCTCTGTATTCCCGGGATCCCACCCAGGAGGACCACACCATGCCACACCATGAGAGATGTCCCCGTCCTCTGTATTCCCGGGATCCCACCCAGGAGGACCACACCATGCCACACCATGAGAGATGTCCCCGTCCTCTGTATTCCCGGGATTCCACACAGGAAGATCTCACCATCTCACATAAGGTTAAATAGAAAAATAATAAAGCTGATACATTATGACCTGATCATTATCTATGTAGTTACATCTGATGTCATTGTTCTCAATATTCAGGGTATAAACCAGAGTGAGTGTGATAATGATGTTAAAGACGAGGTAAAAGAGGAGGAGGAGGAGGAGGAGCTTGGTGTGATGGAGGAGTTTTCTGAAGAACACAAAGACCCCTTGAAGGATGTCATGATGGAACCATTCAGTGACACAAACCCACCAGAGAGATGTCCCCGTCCTCTGTATTCCCGGGATTCCACCCAGGAAGATCTCACCATCCCCCACCATGATCAGGTAGGTGGGACTCGGTGTATAGAACACAGAAGTGATAGTGAACTTTGTCAGAGAACATTCTGCTATGTAGTCTCTTAGATAAACGTAAGATACGGCCTTCCACCCGTGAAGCATGCTGAATGATGAGGTGCTATTTTAGGTCATATCTAGGTAGTTACACTGCTTCTATTAAACAAATAATGATGTATTCATGAATGAAGAGCTGCCTTCCTTTGTGTCTTCTATCTCTCCCCGGAGTTCAGCTTCATGAGATGTTTTCTATTATTTTGGGGTTTAGGGTGAAGAACGGATCATCATAAAAGTTGAGATTAAAGAAGAAGAAGTGGAGACATATGTGGGGGGTGAGCGGCCGTCCACGGGGGAGGTCGGGATGATGATGAAAAGTGATCAGGATGACATTTCTCTACCGATCAACACAAGTAAGTAACAGACACTATGGAGGGAACAGGTCACAGTTCTATGTCACTTCTGAGTATCTCCATTCCCCAATATAACGTCATGTGACCAACAAATGTGGAGCAGATACTGTACACCATATGAAGGTCCATCTCCATTCCTCAATATAACGTCATGTGACCAACAATTGAGGGGGAGATACTGTACACCATATGAAGGTCCATCTCCATTCCTCAATATAACGGGATCATGTTGGGGAATCATCAGATCTTCACATCATCAGATAAGATGAGACTGAATTATAAATGGTGGACCATGAAAATTGGGAAGAAGATTCCCCAGAAGAAGTCATCTCCCCTATTGTAGGATGAAGGGGGCGTCATCTCCTGATTAGTGTTAGGACGGTTGGGGGTAATTTACAACAAATAAACTCTCATCAAATGTTCTACATACAAATGTTGGGTCCATTGTCATGGAGGAATGATGGTTTTGAGGTCTTTGTCAATCACATTTCTTCAGGTCTGTGCCAACATTCTTCAATAAAAAGAATATATTCTATTTTTTGAGAAGAATGTCCGCTACAACACTACTGAGGTTGGATCTAAGACAAATGTCCATCGTTCAACCCCCAAAAAATCTTAAGGCACAAAACCTTATACTTAGAAATCCAAGGTTCATTGGGGGACACCGCCTCTGACCTTCGGGTACACGCCCTGCCCCTAGGAGGTTAGACACTAGACAAAATGGAAGACTCCGCGTTACCTAGACGTTATACCCCGGTATAAACCGAGTCGGGCCAGTTTACCTCACAGACCATGTATACATGAGAGCAGATCTTGCCGTATGGCTTATTGCCACAGCTTGCATTTCGCAGCCCATTCATAAGGTAAGCTGTGGTATTGAGCCTGTGGTAGTTCACGGGGTTCTCTTTTCTTAATGCAGCAGAGAGAACTCCGTGGTTGGAACCAAGTCTTCTATATTCCCGGGATTCCAGGACTTTGGCAGGTCACCTGACCGGGCTCTCCACCTGACTTTTTTCTTTTCATTAATAACCCCATTCATCTGTATTGTGCTCTACAAGCTTCAGACTCCAGGTTTATAATTCGTGGTTTGGCCATATGTCTCCATTACTTTACCCCCTAATGTCTATCGGAGACATAGAAAGTTTGATTACGCCGGATGGTTTCCTGTCTGGGTCGGGTGTTAATCCGGGCCTCAGACCCAATTCCTGGCCAAACCAGTTCCTCGAGGCAGCCTTCATCTCCTGAATTGTCCTCTCTGTCAGATACTTGGGTCTCAGCTGCAGGGCACGGTTCATGTGAGGTCTCAGCTGCAGGGCACGGTTCATGTGAGGTCTCAGATGCAGGGCACGGTTCATTTGAGGTCTCCGCTTCAGGGCACGGTCCTTGTGAGGTCTCAGCTGCAGGGCACGGTTCATGTGAGGTCTCAGATGCAGGGCACGGTTCATGTGAGGTCTCAGATGCAGGGCACGGTTCATGTGAGGTCTCAGCTGCAGGGCACGGTCGATGTGAGGTCTCAGCTGCAGGGCACGGTTCATGTGAGGTCTCAGATGCAGGGCACGGTTCATGTGAGGTCTCAGCTTCAGGGCACGGTTCATGTGAGGTCTCAGCTGCAGGGCACGGTTCCTGTGCAAATGACTTTGCCACGAGAAGGTGAATTGTCAGGAGGTGCAATTTCACGGCACAGTCCAGTTATAGACGGCCTGATGAAAGCTGTACTGTAGACTCTGAAGATTGAAGGACCAAGTTCCTCTGGTGTCAGTGCTTCTAAACAGCTGGGCTTTCACAGAGTTCTGAAGAAGGAAGCAGCCCAACGGTTGATGTGAGGGTCAAAGTTTATGACCTTCATGGATGCTCCGATCCTTAGATGCCTACAATCTGGCATGGACCAACACCCGGCTCGAAGCACCACCAAAGGCCAGATCTCCACCCTTCAGATTTTGCTCCTTGACAGCCCGTTCCTTGGATGGTACCTTTTGTTCAGGGCATTACTCACACTTCACCTCCCATGGCTCCGTACGTTCTTAGTTCCATGCTATTCATGCTTCAGGGCGCATTCCCGTCAATCCAATGTGTGAGGTCCCCTCCATAACCTCATCTCAGAAGGTAGGTTTACCTATTGCCATCACTTTAGCCAGAAGAGTATGAAACCTGGCAGCACTCTCGTGTCACTAATCCTTTACTTCCTGAGAAAGATAGATGATTCTTATTCATGACATTTTTACATTTATTTACCAAATTTCTCTCCAGCAGATGGATGTGATGTCAGCAATACCTCGGAGAGACATCTTATATTATCTGCTGATTGTAAGTCAGAAGATAATGTCATCACACAGGATTCTCCAGGAGTGAATCCAAACACACAAAATATACATCACAGACCTCACTGCTCGGAGACATCAATGGATCCCTCTGATCAGGGTGAATCTTCTGATCATTCACATACTATGACTGGAAATATTCATCTAAGATCTCACACTGCAAGAGATCCATCTAATCCCAAGGAGTCTTCCTCACCCCATGAAGGAGATCACAGAGGTGAGGATCTATTCTCATGTGAAGTGTGTGGGAAATCTTTCATTGAAAACAAAAACCTTCTCAGACACCAGAGAATCCACAAGGGTGAGCATCCTTTTTCGTGTTCAGAGTGTGGAAAATGTTTCACTCAGAATAGGACATTTATTGAACACCAGAGTTTTCACACAGGTGAACGCCCCTTTTCCTGTTCAGAGTGTGAAAAATGTTTTTCTGAGAAAAGAAACCTCCTATTACACCAGAGAAGTCACACAGGTGAGGGAACCTATTCATGTTCAGAGTGTACAAAGTGTTTTATTCGCAAAGGAGACCTTGTTAAACACCAGAGGATTCACACAGGTGAGCGACCATACTCCTGTTCAGAGTGCGGGAAATCTTTCACGGAGAAGGGAGACCTTGTTAAACACCAGAGAATTCACACGGGTGAGCGTCCTTATTCATGTTCAGAGTGCGGAAAAACATTTATTCATAAAGGAGACCTTGTTAAGCACCAGAGAATTCATACAGGTGAGCGTCCTTATTCATGTTCAGACTGCGGGAAATCTTTCACTAAGAAAGATGACCTTGTTAAACACCAGAGGATTCACACTGGTGAACGTCCTTATTCGTGTGCAGACTGTGGGAAATCTTTCATTCATAAAGGAGACCTTGTTAAACACCAGAGGAGTCACACCGGTGAGCGTCCTTATTCATGTACAGAGTGTGGGAAATGTTTCACGGAGAAAGATAACCTTGTTAAACACCAGAGGATTCACACAGGCGAGCGTCCTTATTCATGTACAGAGTGTGGGAAATGTTTCACCCATAAAGGAGCACTTTGTAAGCACAAGAGAATTCACACGGGTGAACGTCCTTATTCGTGTTCGGAGTGCGGGAAATCTTTCACCGAGAAAGGAGCCCTTGGAAAACACCAGAGAATTCACACAGGTGAACGTCCGTTTTCATGTTCAGACTGCGGGAAATGTTTCACCCAGAAAGGAGTCCTTGTAAAACACCAGAAAATTCACACAGGTGAGCGTCCTTATTCATGTTCAGAGTGCGGGAAATCATTCACCGAGAAACATGTACTTCTTACACACCAGAAAAGACATACTAAGGAGCGCCCTCGCTACTTTCAAACCGCGGGAGATGTTTTACAGATACAAGAAGTCTAATTAGATATCGGAGAGAATGTTCCTTCTGATTCTTTTGACAAATGTACAATAACCTTATAACAGGTGCAGCTGTCTAGTCCATAGGACAACATTAAACAATTAGGGCTCATTCACACGGGTGTAGGGTGCTGTACAGAGTTAAGTATGTGTTTATGTACTTAAGTGGCCCCCAGGAGTCATCAGGTGTATGCGTACAGATAATTGACAAGCTGACAGATTTTGCAGTCCAAGCATTTACATCCGTACAGATGAGCAGCCCTCGATCTATCTAAATGCTTCAATGTGTGTATAGCTATATGTAATCGGCTTTCTTACATAGGTGGTCAGTGCAGAAGGACTTCCCTAAACTGTTGGTCATCATGAATAAGACTGTTCCTTACATTGGTGGTCAGTGGGCTCAAAGTATGCGTATAGGGGGGG